TTTATGCAGCTTTTATGAAAACAGTTGTGTGTGTGTGTGTATGTATATATATATATATATATATATATATATAGTGAATGTTTATACGTATGTCTTAGATGTTCACAATACATGGGAAAATGACATATATCAACTTCAGGATAGTGGTTACCTCAGGTAGAGAATGAGAAGGATGGGGACAGGGAGCTAGGGCTTTAATTGTATTATTTAATTTAATTGTCTTTTGGACTTCTGAAAATTGTCTATTCATATGCTTTGCCTATTGTTTTTGTAAATGTGATTCCTATCATATTGTGGTTTTCAGATATTTTTTAGATGTTTGTATAAATACTAATCCTTTAGTGGATTTAGACATTTCAATTAGCTCCTCCCATTCTGTCACCTTTTAACCTTGTCCCATGTCTTTCCCCTGAACAAAAGTTCTTAGTTTTTATGTATCACGTTTATCACTATTTGCCTTATGATTTATATTTTTCAAGTTTTATTTAAGAAGTCATTCTATACCCTTGAAGGAACTCTGGTGGTGCAGTGACTAAAGCATTCAGCTGCTCACCCAAAGGTCGGTGGTTTGAACCTACCAACTTACTCCATGGGAGAAAGATGAGACAGTCTGCTTTCATAAAGATTTACAGCCTTAGAAACCTTATGGAGCAGTTTTACTCTCCCTGTAGAGTTACTATGAGTCGGAATCAACTCAGTGACAGTGGGTTTGGGTTTCAGTTCTGTGCCCTTAGATTACAAAGATACTCTGTTATATTTTTTTCCATTAAGTTTAAGAACTTGGTGTGTGACAAAGAGGTATATTACGTATTATTTATTATTATGTGTTCACCTCAGTAATTATCAAAGAAATGCAAATTAAAACAACAGGAACCATTTCACACCAGCAGACTGACAAAAATTTAAGTCTGATGTTGTGGGATATTACAAACTCCCCTACACTGCTGTTGAGAGTATACAATGATATAATCCCTTTGGAGAGCATCTCGACAATAACAAGTACTCTTGAAGATGAGGATAACTCTCTAACCCAGCAGTTCCCTCTCTAGCTGTCTACTCTAGAGAAACTCTTGCCCATGTGCACATGTGGAATGTACCAGAATATTCATGATAGCACTGTTTAGAACAGTGAGGGAATGGAGCATCTCTTCTTTAGTAGGGGAAAAAATAAATATATTTGGATTCATTCATTGTTGTTGTTGTTGTTGTTATGTGCCGTCGAGTCGGCCCCGACTCATAGCGACCCCTCCTTGGGTTTCCGAGGCAGTATCACTACGGAAG